CACGGGGCATGCCCTCGGACCCCCCTAGAGAAACCTCGCACCTGCGGCGCTCGGCTCGTGCCTTCGACACTCGTTTATCAAGCGCTACAATATAGGGGCGCATATTAGTTGAAAGCCCACAGGCCCCCCCAGGAAATTAGTACCCAGCACGCCACTGATCTGACCACATATTCAACGAGTTAGAAACTTCGTGCATGTGATCACGAATCACGGGGCATCGCGTCATCCGGGGTATCCAGTCATCAGCAGGTATTAATAAATAACTGATTCGAAATGATATTTCTAAGATCGTTAAAGTGAACACTATACAAACTAGGCGAAATTACAGATTATTAAGGTACTAAAGAAAGGCATGGATTTTGTTTAATTTAAATTAGCAGCGATAAGTTTACTTCAAAAAGCTTCCTGCCAATTGCAGAAGTATGTTGATACATTCATGTTAGTGTACTTTTGATCAACCACACCAAACGCTTTACGGAAGTCGAGAAATAGCTTCGCGTGAATTAGCTGTTACATTGAATCAGTTTTGTGCAATGCCCACCAAAGCAGACACTGTAGATCGATTTTGGTGAAAGCGTGTTGGTTATCTTTAATTCTTAGGCTCGCGCCGTTGAATGAGATAAAGTTGGAAATGTTATCTGTGGGAGAATTGAAATTTGTCGGAAATCGTTTTCTACATTTCATTCACTTTTGGAACAGGACAGATCAGATTAAAGCGTGTTTATATTTGGTCAGATTAAAGTGTGTTTTCAGAAGGTTTAGATTGCGTAATGCATGCACAGATGATACCATGGACAACTGATGCATGTTCTTCACATTATTATATTCACTGAGGACGGAGAGGTCTTATTTGAACCTTTGGCATTTCTGTTTTTTAACAATGGACTGTCTTCCCTTAATAGATGCCCAATTTTGCCGACATCTCGAACTTTAGTTGGAACAACCTCATTCCAAGAAAAAGTTCATCGGATACGTTCAGCCAGTAGTGTTGCATGCATCGTCTGGAGACGGTTGGAGAGATTTGTTGCCGTCATTAGTAGCAACTAGTTCATATATCAATTTGTACCATTTCGCTTGGTTCGATTTGAGAAACATCTACCTTACTCAGGTAGTATATAGGTTGTTGCAGCATTTGATATAAGCGTGGTGACTTTAACGCAATGTTGCTAAATACTTCGCTATACTACCTTTTACGAAAGCCTTTGGTCGAGCTTTAATTTCCTGTTTTATAATAGGTGTCGTCCACGGTTTATCCGAGGGGTAGAAACGTACAGCACGCTGAAGGAGCCATTTTATCTAACATGTGTACGATGGTGGTAGATAACTTGCTCACTTTATCGCCAACGACATTGGCATTATAGACCGGCCTCCAGTTCTCCTTATTTAATAGCGCAGATTAAGGTTGTTATTTATATTATAGCACAAACTTCGGACAAACAAACTGAAACTGACTTTCAAATGAATGCAAATGAACCCTACTCTATTATTGCCAAGCCCGCGTAGATTTTGGGAATATTTGAACAAACTACACATGTGACGGCAATTTGACGGCGATTGATCATACTATTTTGCAATGCGATATTGTTTGTGTTTGTTGTTCATATACTAAGTCTAGTACATGTTGTAAGCTTGGATATTTGTGAAGTAAAGATTGTTGCTCAAGTTTGTATTCAGAAAATATCTGAACTCCCGTTGGGAGTTATATATTTATATATTTGGGAGATATATATTGTGTGTTCATATACTAAGTCTAGTACATGTTGTAAGCTTGGATATTTGTGAAGTAAAGATTGTTGCTCAATTTTGTATTCAGAAAATATCTGAACTCCTGTTGGGAGTTATATATGTTATATATTTATATATTTATATATTTATATATTTATATATTTATATATTTATATATTTATATATTTATATATTTATATATTTATATATTTATATATTTATATATTTATATATTTATATATTTATATATTTATATATTTATATAATGAATATATTTATACATTTAGATATTTAGATATTTATATATTTATATATTTATATATTTATATATTTATATATTTATATATTTATATATTTATATATTTATATATTTAACAACAACAGAAAATGGATGGTCAATATCGATATCGAATAATTGAAGCAAATTATCAATATCGAATAATTAAACACAAATTGAAACAAAGTAAATGAAAACGCATAGACCAAGTTGAATAACTGAAAGCCTTTGGCGAAAGCATGTGTTACACGCACTTGACATTTTGGGGGCGTATATATGTATATACACAGTTACTAATTACCAAACTAATTACTATATACACAGTTACTAATTATCAAACGAAGCGTCTAGTTTCCCAGGATACTCCTGCCTGAGGGGTCAGGTGTATCAAGGTTTTATGCATGGGCCCATTCGCGCAGCATCAAATTATATTTGCCAACAAAGAAATTGGCTCTGCTTTGTCAACACAAAGTTTACCCAAGTGGGATTTTAATTTGGCGAACCGCGCAACGCTGTTAAATTGACCTATCGAGACAACTGGGGCGAGCCCAAGTTCAAATCTCTATTTAAGCTCTCCAGATATATTCTCGAGATCGGATCCTGGATTGTGAATTCATAGCAGACCTTTTGGCGGATCCAGATTTAGACAAGGCCATTGTCGGGTCAGCGGATTTTGCTTCAAATTTGAGCGGATGGGCGGATTAGTATATCCCTACTTACCCCCCCATCCCCATTCATAGAGATTTTAAAATTGGGATATTGCCAGGTTGAAAAATAACTATTCATGCAGCTCTTGGTTTTCTGAATTGTTTTATAACTATGTACTTCTAGTTAACACAACGATGTCTAACCCCTCCTACAGTAAATAACATATTTGATTCACCAGGTTACTGCCGTGTAAGAACTTAACTGGGGCCAAGAATGACAATAGACTTAAGTAAGTCAATGAATTTTCTTGGTTCTCATGTAAACAAGATGCTTGGTTTGATTATAGGCGCTAAACATTAGAAATAGTTGACACACAAGTTAGAAGGATATTATATTTACAACTTCTACGACGCCAGTTTGGGTTATGCCTTCCATGTGTGGTGTCATCAAGCTATTGAATCTAACAGCATTATCGAAATGATGCAGAGAACAGCCACACATTTCGTCCTACATTGTCAGTACCCGTCTGATGTCAATTATTCCCGCACTTTAAGCAAGTTCGACCTGTTTTCTATAACCTACTGGCATGATCATCTGAATTTACTAGTCATTCTCTCTAATTAAAATATCAATGGCATGGTGTCAGTTTCACGTGGGATGTTCATGCCTTGCTGCCGCTTCTTTAAGAAAAATCTTAGTTCGAATTCATCTAACTGACGATTGTGTATGTTTAACTCTTCAGTCATTGTATTTTATCAGGTCAACTGAAGCCATCTTTCACGTCTTTTAAAATTGAACACAGGCTAGTAGTAATTGATTAGTTTATTTACCCACAAATAATATTTACAAGTTGAATATTTGAAATAGTATATAAACGGGCTACAGAAACCTGTGGAAATCCTGTTGGACTTTTAAGACGAGACCCCTATAGTTTTACTGTTCAGTAATATAAAAATAGATTATGTACATTGGCCTAAGGACAATTTGCAATGAAAAACACGAACTATTTACAAACAAATATGGAAAATGTTTAAGGAATATTTGGTACATTACAGAATACTGTCATTAATATTCCTGAAATATTTACATAAACTAGGCATCAAGTCATTACTTGATTTTGCAGTTTTCTTAAAAGAAAAATGTGATTTAACATTTTTAATTTCTTCATCAAGGCAATTCCATATAGAAACTCCTTTGTTAAATACACAGTGTATTTGCGATAGTTTGTTCTTTTATAGCTCACATGTAACATGGTAGAATTTCGCGTATTATTGTTGTGTAGTTTGTTATTTTAATTCGTGAATATATAGAATTACTCGAACGATCCGTGCCAGCTTGGGTAGCGGTCAGAATTACAAACGGAATGGCTACTGATTTCCGACGAAGGGAAATAAATCTGACGAAATAAATCTGGTATGTCCGCGCACCCATGTATTATTCTCTATGTATTCAGATGTGATAAACATTCGAATCCCTCGCACATCAAATTAATACGAAGTGTCAAATCACTTGAGTTTGCTTCGCAAAATGCATAGTTTCCCTAGCCTTACGGTTAATCGGTCCTAAGGGAGCGTTTTATACGGCGATTTTAATGTAATCTGAAACAACCGACATGGGATATTAACCAAACGGCAAATATAAAAATGAAATCAAAAAATATTTTCAAAAAATTATTTCAAAAAAATATTATTTCGAAAAATGTTTCAAAAAATATATTATTTCAAAAAATATATTAAAACATATCTTAAATATCCGCGTTTAATTTCCATATCCGCTCGGCGATTTATCCCCATATCCGCTTCGTTACGTTCATCCGCTCCGTATCCGCATCAGCTTTTGATCCTAAACGGATAACAGATAGGTCAACAAATCAGCGTGGCAATTAAAAAATGATGTTTTTATCCGAGCATAGTTCGGGTATAAGTAATGTTTTCAATATTGTACAATGTCAATGTCTCCAATTAATTTCGTCATTATTTATTTTAGTCTTAAATTAATTACTAAGTGCGATTAATTTATTTTCGCGAAGTCACAAGGTGTTATGCAATGAACGCAAGAAGTTTTACGTGCTGAAATTTCATTTGATATTTTTGTTCTAGCTTACTCGGATTTACAGATCAGGTTGGTCAACCCAATAAACAACAAAACTGCAGGAAGAGTCGAAATATACCATCCTTCTTTTGGCTGGGGTACTGCCTGTCATTGGCTTGGCCGGTGGACTGAGGTGGAAGGTGGTGTTGTGTGTCGTCAATTAAATTTCACTGGAGCGAACGCGGTAATGTGGAATAGCTACCCCTATGGCGGAGGAAGTGGTCCAGTATTGCTTTGGAACATTCAGTGCACTGGCAACGAAACATACATATGGGAATGCAGTCACAATGGATGGAATGTGTATAACCCTTACTGTGACCGTCATGGTTCGGATGTGGGTGTTGATTGTTACTGAAGTCAGACATGCGGTGATGGATTTGGACTGGAAATTTTAATGACTTAAAGGTGTTTATGTGAGTTTTTCATAACAGGTGGCCCACTCAAACGATATACTTCAACAAAATAAAATTATAATAGTACTTTCTTAATAAGTTCTTGCAGGTTTACATGTCGAATTTAAGTATAATTGTTTTACTTTTTGGAAAACACACGTTTATTAATTAAGCAGAACTTTCGCTGTTCAATATGTTCGTTTGAATTACAAGCGGAGACACCCTGCAAGTCAAGTTTAACGCGATCTTTAAATATGTCTTAGTATAAGTCCAGGTACCAATACAAAGGATCAACTATGTCAGAAAGTTAATAATTTATACGATCTGAATAACTTTTTCATTAAAATGTGTGATCTCTACAGCTTCAAACTTTTGCTGCCTAAAACTTCATACTCCTCTAACATAGTTTTGCATTTGGGCCAAATCGTGGGTCAATATGCAGGCATTAATTTCTGAAGAAGTTTCTTTTGTTTAAGCTAAGCGACTGAACTATTAACCCACTGCCCCTACGCATACATTGCTGAGTATGCATGAAATTTTTTATTTAAATCAACTGGACAAATTGTTAATGCTTAGTGACGTAAGGAAATTAAGCAGTTCTTATATAGGACAGATGATTTAATCATGAATAATAAAATGACTGGATAGAAAGCTTGATGGTGAAACGATGATCAACTTGAATACTTGATTAGAAATTATGAATTACAGCAACACTGGACACTTACATGTTGAACTAAAAGCAACTTGAGTATATGCATTTGCTCAAATTCAAAAGATTTCTGTTTAGTTCCATCTCAGTGCTTGTAAGACAAAAGAAAATTTCGATTCGGTCGAAAAATTTCGCCTAGTTGAAAACTGCCTTAACTCAGAACGTTTACATCTATACTGTGTTTTTTTCGCTTAGTGAGTTGATTTCGTGACAACGTTTTTCATTCCGCCGACAGAATCGAAGACAGAAAAACACAAAGTGCAAAAACATCATACTTCCAACAACATAGCTAAACAACTCGTGATTTCACTGCAAAATATATCCAGGTTGCTTATTAGAGTAGGTCTTCAAATTAATTTCTGATTTCATCAATCAACAAACAAGAAGTACCACGCGCGATTTACGTTTCCCATCCAGTCATATTTTATCATCCATGAGTTTATTCATGTAAAAACAGACTGAAATCAATTATTACTGCGTGGACTATCTTTATACATAACTCACATAAACACCAGCTAGTCAGACGTTAGAAATGCATTTAGCGTGATATATCACTATTTCAGTAGAATTTAATGCCCATTCAACATAGAAAGTATAAGGAGAACAGTTGTTCAACCATAAACAGTGCCAGTTGGGGTGCGTTTGATTCTCGTGGTGCTTATTTTCATATCCAGGCAAATCGATAAACAAACAAAATATTGTCAGTACAAATATATATCATCACACTTGACTTAATGTCTACGAAAGACTTCGTCTTGGGTTTGCGTGCTATCTTGTATAAATAACCTTAACGCCAACGTAAGGTAAATTCCTTTTCACTTGCTTTCATTCTCCGCTAAATTCCTTACACAGATCGTGAGTGAATCCTATAGTATCTCATTTTACTATTTCGAAGTTATTTCCTTATTTTACCTCCAATTATAAAGCTAAGTTGGAAACCGATACAAGCAAGCATTAACAATCTACAGTAAATCTATCAAAATCATCTATTAATCTTCCTTTATGACAATAACAATAATCTTTAATAAGAGATGCCTGAATCACCTTACGGTGTTTTTGATGAGATGCCAAAATGGCCAAGTTTTTGGCTAAATTTCGCTTGTCTGGTCTGAACTTTAATTTGCCGTATCAAACACACCCTTTGGCTCTGGCTATAAGATATAAGTTTTATGTACTTTGAACCGTAGGTTGTTTTCAATGGATGGTTGGCTGGTGGTCAGTTAACTGCTAAGCTTTAAAAATATGATTAAGAAAAGAAGCATAGTTTTTTTAACTCTAAACCTACATGGTTGCCTTCCTGGAAACAGATGAAGCAAAGACACGCACTATGTATCAGCGAGACAGTACTTTTGGTATCAGCATAAAACAAGAATTCATAAATAAATAATCTGTATCTAAATTTCTAGAATTCATAAACAAATAATCTGTAAGTATCTGCATGTTGGATGCACAGGGGTAATCAACATTTTCAGCAAATCGTTTTCGTAGTCGGCAAAACAAGAACTGGATCGGAAAGGAAAGAAGTAAAATATTTGAGCGACACTGATAAAAAGTAATACTTATAGGAAATATTTGGAGAAATTTACGACAACGTTAAAAAAAACATTTCTTAACCCATAACTGAATGAATGTGAAGTCCAACATTTTTGCCGCTGAAAGGTGTACCATAACATCTGTCAGAAAGTGTTATTCAAGAAATGTTAGACTCAACTATAACTATATGTAAGAGTAATCGCTACTCTCAAATAAGTACTCACTACTCTCCTCATCTTTTGAAGCGCTTAATAAACGCCCAGGCGTTAATAAGATCATTTACGGTACATAATGGTGATCGTGGATTTTAAACTAGTAACACTGTACTAACCAGCCAAATCTTGCTGATGAACACCAACGGTTCTTATATTTCGCATTATATAATGTCATTAAAATTAATTAAATTTAGTATTAATTTTAAAGTTAGCTAACTAGATATCGCCATGACATTTACAAACATATAATAAGAATCTTTACTACTTGTAGTGCATGACTTCCAAAATTATGCTTGTAGTGAACGTACTTCAAGGATTTGTAGTAACTTTTGTAGCGCATAATTTGCATCAGTATGTAGTGTGCTGCATGCTTTGATTTGTAATGAATGGCTGGTTTATATAGTCTCAATGCTAGTCGAGACTTGCATAGAGACGTACATAATAATATGATTGTAGTGACTTTGAAAGGGTAGCTTTGCAGTCGCGTGGAAGTGTTTTGAAGAGAGGTCTTCGGAAAAGCTGCGACATGGCTCGCATGTAAAATTCTAAATTTAAAGTTGTTTGGGTTAGTAAATAAATAGACAATGCATTTAAATTCTGCTGTACAATTATTGTGTCATTCTAGGGGCGTTTCCTATTAACAGGGCCAACAAGTCAAAACGGTCAAATTGATGAATGGAACACAAAACATTTGGGCTTTGTACCTATCTGACCGGAAAATTTAGATAACATTAGAATGATGTCCATTTCCCCTAGATATTTGAGAAATATAGTCCAGATCTTTCCATATTTGCTACAGGGAAAATAATTCTGGTCTGACTGTTCACGCCATTAAATGGAAAGCGCCCTAGTTCGACCAATCTTTCTAGAACGGCTCGGAAATGTGCACTACCGCTTCAATTAGCATTCATTTCCCAAACATAGCCGTTTCTCAGTTTGCAGGCTTACACTGTAACAAGACAAAATTTTCTGTTCTGGAACATTTGCAATTATGTTCTGAAAAGATGTGTAATGGAGCCCAGACATTTTTCTGAAACATGCAGTGACTGGTAAGTAGGTACAATAAGTATATAGTCAAATTTAGATTGGGCATATACATCGTCGAAATACCAGTTTGTTTAGTGAGAGTAATATTTGAAAGATTTTCCCGTTATTTCCTGTCTTTCGTTCTGGCTGCCACGGTTCAAAGTTTGAGTTAGTACATTTCGGAATAATCAAGTGACAATTTGAAATGATGTGTTTCATTACAGGAAAAACCGGACAACACCAGAGAGTAAATGTAGCAGCATGTGGGATGACAGCTGCCGTCCCGACGTCACAAATAAAGCTTTCTGATTGGTCAGGATTTCAGCCAGCCAACCAATCAAAGATCTTTATCTTGTGACATCTAGACGGCAACCTTCACCCGCATATATATTTGCTTGGCAACCTTGGGGAAATAAATAATATACATTTATCACTTATTTACTGAGACCAAGGGAAACAGTGTGTATTGTGGGCCGAGACGGCGGTCGTGGGGCCACAAAACCACTGCTTTCCCGAAGTCTCAGTAAATAAGTGTTTTGTTATATAGTATAAATAAGTGTAAAAGTATGAATAATTCACCGGTTATTGGAGTGAACTTAATTTCAAACCCAAAATTGGATAAATGGAACGCCGTAAAGGTTTAATAAGTTTGAAAATGAACTTTGGAACTTCATGGTTGACACGCATACGTATTGCACCCATTTTATTATTTCCCGGTCAATAAATGTTTCATTGTGGATCGGTTGCCTCCTCAGCAAAGCATGCAGTGAACATGATGTTTTGTGGATCGGCACGTGATACGGTTTTGACCAATCGGCAAACAGAAAAATTGCACTTTGACACTAACTATATAACAAAATATAATATAACGCTACCTTTTCGGGAGAGCCATAATAATTTAATAAGTACATATGTGAACTCGGGCTCTAAATTCAAAAGCCTCTACAAGTTTCTACAGACTACTCTTCTAGGCCCAGAATCAATAATTTTCTATATACACCATATTGCTAAATAACATACTGTATCACAATAACATGAGCGAGTCAATAAAAAAATACTGATTGGCGCCGGTATCAAGCGCAAGCAATAATATTGAGTGGAATTATATTCTGTTGCCATGCAACACGTCTCTTCAAAATAGCATACTTTGTTTTGCACAAAACATTCCTGCTGAAAAGGAATAAAATGTAAAAAATACTTTCAAATGCACTGTAAGTAGTACCGTTTATTTTACAGAGAAACCTACAATGCGAGCGAACCATCTAGAATTTAAAAATAATTTGTAAGGCTGAGGATATTAATCCTAGAATGTATATTTGACAGTTCACATTAAGTGATTGCAATTGCGAATTCTTTGATTTTGAATTTTCCGAACAATTGTATTAAAAAAACCGTTCTTGAGTGCCGAACCGGTTTTATGCTTAGATTGATGGGAAATGAGGACCACAGCCTGCAAAGCAGGCGCTATTTGAAAGAGCGT